CAAAGCGGGGACCTCTCCCAACAAAGTCTGCTCTATTCGCAAGCGCCTGAGATCGAACCCAGGACCTCTTGTTTAAAGGATCCAAGCCCCTTCCACTTGGACCAACTCCTGTTGGTAGATTTTGCTTTTTGGATTCTGCTTTAGAGAAGCATTTTTGTTTTGCGTACTTTTTTTATGAGATTTTTGTTGTGCATACTTCAATATTCTCTTCTTAGAGCAAATTTTTTTCCGAATTTGCAAATGATTCTCGGTTTTATTTATAAAAGTGCAAATTTTCTGACTACAATAAGGAAACCAAAATGTAAATGCTCCAGGTAGAATGTGACTCAGTTGTTTGTAGTTCTTTTGATTAGCAATCGCATGGGGATCAATCATCCCATGTTTAGTTTGAAAAGTAATTTGTAACACACACACTACAAATGCTCAAGCCCTTATCGAAAATCATACATTAGAAATGCAGGTAAAAAAAACAACATTAGAATGGTACAACTAAGAGAAAAATGTTTTGCATTTACATAGAATTCATCATAATATTTAGTAACGAAAGAATAAAAGCATGAAGAAAAGGAAAAGGAAAAAAATACATCAATGAGAACAACATTTACCCCAAAAAAAGATGATAACCAGCAAATAGAACATCCTTACGTGGGGCGAAAAAAAAAAACATAAATTAAAGAAAGAAATACGAAGATTGAGACCCAACAATCTCATGTTCTTGTTTGACATTTTTCCTCTGCTGGCATTTCTAGGAGGCCTCTGTTTTTCTTATGTGTTTCTATTATTAGGCTGATTTTTTTAATTTGCTTTGGTGCTAATAAACCAATTTCCTATAGTAGTCACTTGTCAGTGGATGCTTAACTGCATGTAAGCATTACAAAATCTCCGTATTTTATTAAGAAAAGTATTAGATATTGCAGCTTATATTTTGCCAAGCAGAAATACAAACAATATTAGTTCAAACCAAGTGGATTAACAAAAACAGAGTAAAAAACAACTGGGGATGCTGATCACAATATGCCACGATAGATTCCCACTACTAACTGGTTCTACATTCTTTGTCCTTTTCCCCCTTTTTTTTTGTCTTTTGAGAAATTTTTTTTTTTCTGGTCTGATGTCTTTTGAGATTAGGGTTGAGATGTTTCAAAGCAACAAGAAGCACATGTTAATTGTTGCAAATAAGACAGATATTATAGTGGAACATTCCCATCTGAGAGAGTTCACAGGCATGTCAGATACATAGTTACTAACAACACCACAATGTTTCAAACAATGGCTTTGTCTGGGATGTATAGCACCTTTCCCCAAAACCAAATCACATGTAAATGCTTGATTGACAAAATCTAGATTAAGCTGGAAGCCCTCTGTTTCCATTTTTCTAACCATGTATTTACTGAAGCATAACTAGTAGCTACCAAGTCATCTGAAGCGTTCAGATAGAACAAAATACCTTTCATACATTTACATAGCTTTTGAGCTGCTACCAGCCTACCCGCATTGTTAAGCTCCACTTTTAGATGCGTCCCTCCCTTCATCCTGAACTTTATTGATCCCTACCATATGATTTCCCCTTTCACCTTATCAAGGACTTCAAACCTGGGGTTGGCCACCATCAACATAATTTTCCAACTTATCCCACGAACCTTTTGGTAAATAACCCTTTTTTCCCACTAATCTCAAAATCTCAAGTGCTGATTTCATATCTCTCTTCTCTTTCAAGTACTTAAGACATGCATACAAAGTTGAATGGTTAAACTTCCATCCTGGTCGACTTGACATTTTTGCTGCGTTTTTCATTGCTTCCACTGCCTCTCCCATGTGACCATTCATATGATATTCCGTAGCCAAAACAAGAAATGTGCTTGCATTCCCCTTTCCACTCTCCATAAGCTTCTCTACATATGATTTGGCCTTCTCAAACAGACCTTGCCTGCAGTAAGCAGTGACCAGCAAGTTGGGTATTCTAATGTCATAGCATTTTACCCCAGATTCCCATTCCTGCACAATCTTCTCAGCACCGTCAATGTCACCTAGCTTCATCAACGAACTCACCATACATCGATACCCATTATTGTAGAATCCTACGGTGTTTTTGTGCAAATCCCAAATCCGATAAACCTCATCTTTATTACCAATAGCAGCATATGAAGTCATCAGGTGTTCATAACCAATTTTCCTTGTGTCCTTGTCAATCAGTTGCTCCGATCTCCTCAGCAATGTCGATGTCTTCTCCAACAGTCCTGCCTTCGAGCACGCTTTCACTGCAACAAAATAACCATGCCAGTCCATGGTGACCAGAGGATCAGCTTCCATCTTCACCAAAAGTTTTTCCATTTGGTCTATGTCACCAGTGGCTGCATACGAAAACATTCTGAGTTTCAATGTGTGAATGTCATAACCAATGTTTTTTTCTTCCATCTCTTCGACTAGAACGTGTAGTTTTTCATATTCACCCGTTCGAAAATAGAGGGATAACATTACATTATAATCCCGAAATCCATTCGCAAAACCCAACTCTTTCATCTTTCCGAAAGTAATCTCAGCATTCTCCACAGATTTACAACGTGTATAGCAGTATAAGAGAGAACCATACACTTGAACAACTCTAAATGGGTATGGGATGCTATCGAAATAGCTCTCAGCTTGTTGCAGACCACGGACTTTGGAGATCAAATCTAGCCGAACAGCAATATCTCCAGGAGACAGATCGTGCTTCATCACATCACTCATCCATTCTGAAACCTCGAGTGCTTGGCTATGGCGACGGGATTTACGGAGCTGCTTGATGAAATCTTTGATCTCTGGTTGCTTCAATTATCTCCCTTCTTTGACCCACTGAGCGAGCATCGGCACAACGGAAACCCTAGGATTTCGATTTCCAACCGACAAAATCCTACGGTACAGGGACTGAAATGGGGGTGAGGAGGAGATGGTGGAGGAGGCCAGGGCCTCGGTTGAGTACAATAGTGCGCCTAAAACCCTAGAAATGGCATGGCCACGCCATGGATTTGAGGCAAGAAGCTTCATCATCAAACCCTAAACCCTAATTGATTGAACAGACAATTGGGGAGAAATTTTGACCGTTGTGTGTGAGTGCTCTTTACTGCTCTATAATCCTAATTGAATACACCCAGTCGGATAGGGGTGTACCCTCACCACCACCTTCAACTATTATTAACCTTAGTTAACTTTTATGTGGGAATTTGAAAAAATAAATAAATGAGGGGCCCACAGCCTTCTCTCCCCTTCCTTTTTTTTTTTTTTTTCTTTTTTTCCGCCTCTCCCAACCCATTTTCTCTTTCTCATTCTGTATCTCTCCCTCTATTACACTCTTTGCAAAAAGCAGTAGTTATTGTATTTATTTTATTTTTAGTCCCTGTGGCGGCAATCTAGAAAAAGTACCTCACTATCACTATGTATTTCATTATTCACATATGCTTGAGCAATCAAAAATAGAGTGCTGCTAAACGAACCCTAAAATTAACTGAGTACACCCTACTATCAAACTATTTATTGAGTTACTAATTTACCATAATATAAAATGACCAAAAAGAATATATAGTTAACTTTTATGTGGGAATTTGGAAAAATAAATAAATGAGGGGCCCACAGCCTTCTCTCCCCTTCCTTTGTTTTTGTTTTTTTCTTTCTTTCAGCCTCTCCCAACCCATTCTCTCTTCCTCATTCTGTATCTCTCCCTCTATTACACTCTTTGCAAAAAGCAGTAGTTATTGTATTTATTTTATTTTTAGTCCCTGTGGCGGCAATCTAGAAAAAGTACCTAACTATCATCACTATGTATTTCATTATTCACATATGCATGAGCAATCAAAAATAAAGGGGACACCAACAGGAGTTGGTCCAAGTGGAAGGGGCTTGGATCCTTTAAACAAGAGGTCCTGGGTTCGATCCTAGGCGCTTGCGAATAGAGCAGACTTTGTTGGGAGAGGTCCCCGTTTTGCGCTCGACAGTACCTCGAGGGTTCACCCAAAAAAAATGTGATAAGCCTAGCATTTTCCTTTATTTTATTCACTACACCAAATTGGAGCTTTTACGACATGTTTTTTGTGCATGTCGTTAATATCTAATATTTACGGCATATGGCAAAGCACACCTTAAAAAGATAACAAAGCGTGCCGTTAATAACTGATATTTATGGCATGTGAAAGCACGTCTTAAAAAAGTAATTTTGTGTCTTTTAACAGCATGTTTAGATATACATCGTAAAGTTTATTTATTTTTTTTAAATCTATTACGGCGTGCAAGTACGCCCTGATTGTTTTTGTTTTTTTGGCTTTTTCACGAAACCCCTAATTATATTTGATAACCCGCTAAACATATGACCTTTTTTAAATTTCCCTCATTTTAGTTTTCCTTCAGACCGGAACATTCTCATCACTTCTCTCTCCCTCTCGCTCCCTCTCCCTCTCTCACAATTTTAGGATTCTCTTTTATAATTTTCTATTGAATATGTTGATGGATATTGCATATGTTGATTAGGATTTGGTTGATTTGGATATTGAATATGTTGATGGATATTGAATATGTTGATTAGGATTTGGATATTGATAATTGAATATGTTGAATCTTTGAATTTGTAACTTAGGCATCACTTATTTTGGTAAATGAATATGTTGAATATTGAATTGGTTCATTTTTTAGTTGTGTCATTTTTGTACCGAAATGGTACCGATACCGTACCGATACCGACATGGTACGGTATGGTACGGTACCAATTTTGACAAACGATAATCCCAAACCGTACCATACCGATTTAAATTTCCGGTATCGGTAGCGGTACGGGCTCAATACCGTACCATACCGTACCGTGCCCACCCCTAGGTAAAAGGAGGAAGGAATGAGAGAGAAGGCTGTGGGCCCTGTATTTATTTATTTTTTCAGATTCCCACATAAAAGTTAACTGAGGTTAATAATAGGACACGTGTCACTCTTTGAAGGTGATGGTGAGAGTACACCTCTAGTTTGAAAAGTAATTTGTAACACACATTACAATGCTCAAGCCTTATCGAAAAATCATACATTAGAGGGTAAATTACTCAAATGGTCCCCAAATTTGTACGCGATTTACATTTTAGGGCCTGAATTAAAATTTTCATTCAAATAGTCCATCAACTCTATATGATAGCCTATTAAACGTGATCAATTTGTTTCTAATTGGTCCACAAAATCAAACTCGTCCTTGGGATACTATATCCAGATCAAAAGAACCTAGCCCTAGGAACTTTAGGATGACGGTCACGCAGGACCTCTGAAGCAGGTTTCCACAGATGATAAAACTCCTAGAAGAGTTAGAGCAATTTATGCAGTAAAATTCCATTTTCCAGTTGTTCCTTAGACATGAAGGGCAGTCGAGTCCAGTAAGAGCCTTCCACATGTGAGACAACCAAAGCATGCTCACTAAGGCCAGAGGAAAATATGGTTTCATTCCTGCAGCATAAGATCAAAGGACCAAAGGAGTGCTAGTAGTCATGCCAGCATTCCCCAGATTATAAGAGGCCGAAAGAGGGAAATTATTGAACCAGACTTATAAGAGAGGCTCACAAAAATAAAAAAACAACAGCAGCAGCAGCTCCATATAAACAACAAGAAACAGTACTAATCAATTGTAGCACCTAGAGAGATACCTACTACTAAGTTTTCTGTTTCTGTTCATATTTGTACTTTATTTGTGGCCAACATCCGGATTTGTGCTTATGCAATTTAAAATGAGAGCTCCACATTACTTTTCCAGATATTACAGCGGTAGATTGTCATCGGAGAAAGTTCATAGGAAAGCTGGATACATTGTTAATTACTAACACCATAAACCATTCCCTGGTCGGTGCTTTAAGTCACTTTGCTCCATAGAAATTAGATGTAATTAACACTTAACAAGTCACATGAAGCATTAAGAAGGGAAAAAAAAAGGATGCAATTGTCTAGATATTCACCTTTTGGTTCGTAGCTGCAAAAAACACCCTTCATAGATTTGTAATGTTACTTAAATATTTGGGTGCTACCCATATGATTTCCCGTTTCACCTAACTCCAGAACCTGGGGTGCACAACTATCAATATAATTTCTAATTTTATCACACAAATATGTTGTAAAATGACCCCTTTCTCTGAATAATATCAGCAATTCATGTGCTTCTTCAACATCTCCCTTCTCTTTTAAGTACTCAAAGCAAGCAGCCAAAGTTGAATTATCAAACTTCCATCCTGGTCGAGATGCCGAACTTGCTGCCATTTTCAATGTTTCCACTGCCTCTTCCATCCGATCATTCATATGATATGTGGTAGCCAAAAGAGCCCATATGCGACAACACTCCTTTCCACCCTCTGAAAGCTTCTTCACATATGATTTGGCCTTCTCCAAAAGACCTTTCCTGCAGTAAGCATTGATCAACAAGTAGGGTATTCGAATGTTAAAGAATTTGTTCCCAGATTCCCATTCCTCCACAATCTTCTCAGCACCATCAATGTCATCCATCTTCAACAATGAACTTAACATACACCGATACCCGTTATTGTAGAACCCTACCATGTTCTTGTACAATTCCCAAATTCGATAAACCTCGTGTTTACTACCAATAGCAGCATATGAAGTCATCAGGTGTTCATAACCAATTTTCCTTGTTTTACTGTTAATGAGTTGTTCCGATTTCCTCAGCAATGCCGCTGTCTTCTCCAATTGTCCAGCTTTCAAGAACGCATCCGCTGCGGCAGCATAACCATGCCAGTCCAAAGTGACCAGAGGATCAGTTTCCATCTTCATCAAAAGCTTCTCCATTCGGTCTACATCCAAAGTGGCTGCATACGAATATAACCGAATGTTCAATGTGTTCATGTTATAATCAATGCCTTTCTCTGCCATCTCTTTAACTAAAATATCTACCTTTCCATGTTTACCCATTTGAGAATAAAGGTTTAACATTGTATTATAACACGATGATCCTTTCACAAAACCCAACTCCTTCATCTTTTCAAAAACACTCTCAGCCTTTTCCAAACAATTATGCTTTGCATAGCAATACAGCAGAGCACCATACACAGGAACCACTTTTAATGACTCTGGGATGCTATCAAAATACCTCTCGGCTTCTTCAAGCCCATGGACTTTTGAGGTCAAATTTAACCGCACCGCAATGTCTCCAGGATGCAGATCATGCTTCATTTCATCGCTCATCCACTCTGAAATCTGCAGAGCATGGCCGTATCGACGACACCTTCGGAGCCGCTTGATGAAACCTTGGAGCTCGGGCTGCTTCATGTCTTCCCCTTCTACCCGCCATTGATGGAGCACTGGCAGAATGGAATCCCTAGGGTTTCCAATCTGCCAAATCCTACTGGGCAGAAGCTCAAATGGGGGTGATGAGGAGGAGGGCAGCACCTCAGTGGAGTAGAATAGTGCACCAGAAACCCTGGAAATGGCATATCCACGCCATGGATTTGAACTTGAACGAAGAAGCTTCATCATCGAACCTTCACCGAGACTTGAGAAATGTTGGGCTCCAGCGACAAGTTAGGATTTACGGTTTTGAATATATATATATTATCTTTTGGAGATTGTTTCTTAGAAGCCCAAAAGAGTGAACAGAACAACAGGATACGGACAAGCCCATGGGTAGATGGACTATTTTATATTATGAAGCACACAAGAACCATTTTATATTATGAAAAAATTTGAAAACCCATTCATGATACTTTTACTAAAAATATAAATTTAAAAAACACAAAATATAGAAGGAATTGGGCTACAGCCCAAAATTGAACGGCAATTTATTCAGTAAAGAAGGGTCAAAGCACTTCGTATTTTCCCAGCATTTATTTGTTTTTTGGGATGTAATAAATTATGAGTCCTTTTTTTCTTTCCTTTTTTTTTAAATTTTTTTTTTATACAAGTGATATTGGGATAGGGGGAATCAAACCTAAGACCTTGAGTGCAGAGTAAAGGTGTCCAAAGGGCTATACTAGGCCAGATTGATCGATTTAGAATCGACACAATTAATAAACGAGTCAAACCAAGTTCATCCATTTAAGAAAATTATTAAGTCTGGCCTGAGTTAGCAACGCTAGCCCATATAAAATTGGCACGGGCTTGTGTCTAGCCACAAAACGGGCCAATATGAGCCCACGCCAAGCTCAACTTTTTTGTTTTTGGGTCGAACGCCAAGCTCAACTTATGTATTGCATATTTTGTATTCTTTTTCTTACAATTTAATTTCAATATTTTTAACAGTAGGCTCTGAAGAATATCATGACATATCCTGCCGAGTCCTCCATGAATTTCAAGTTTCATAACGTTGTCGCCTTCCATCCAATCTGAAAAGTGAGATTAATACACTAATCAACACTTAAACCGAATAAGACCCACTAAACTAATTCTACTAATTTAAGAAAGAACATAAAACTTACCCTTGAATTTTACTATTTCCCTAAGGACTTGGCAAAAACTACAGTTAGAGGTAGGTATGGCAAATTTCCCCACGAGTATGAAGGATAAAAAAAGGGGTATGAGGACGAGTTCGGAGAATTTTTCGAGTATGTTCGGGAAAGGGCGAAGATGATATTCTAATCCCCAATCCAAACCCCCCCGTTTAAAATACTCATATAAATATATTATTAAGATGTGTGATGGTTGTGTTACCTCTATATTGATGATAATGTCTTGAACATGTATTAATTTTTTAAAATATTCTAGATTTTTAGTTAATAAAAATTGAATTTATACATATCTTCTACTCATAGTATTTTTTTTCCTCGTTCAACAAATAGTTTTTTTATATGTTTTTTCTTGGTAATGGGACAAGTCGGGGAACCCGTTCCCCATTGAAGACGTCGATGGGGAATCCCTGATTTAAATATTCCGGGTATGAAGGCAAGATGGGGCAAAAATGCTTAATGGAATGAAAATGACATACCCACTCCCAATTCGATCCATTGCCATTCCTAGTTAGAGGGGGCTGGTTGTAGAGGCCAAATTGAAAGTGGCCTCACATTGCCAAAATCCTAATTTTGTTAATTGCTATATGTGTTACAAGAAAGTTTTTTTTTGTCTCCTCTTGGGGGATCAATACCGCTCTCATTCTCACTTTCATTCTCCATAAAAAGTAAAAATTAAAAATTAAAATTGAAATAGTTATCAAACAGACTCTAAATTTAACCCTTTTATGATTGAAGATGACCTAAGAACAAACCCCTCGGGATACGTAAGTCCCTCTCCCTAAATTAAGTAATATATAATAGTATGCATACTAAGTAATCTACAATTCGATTTTCTTTATAAACTATATAATAGGGGTCGTGATGATGTTATTCAATGGTGCCTGTATAAGGGTGGCACATGTCATGCTCACCTAACTTGCATGTGATATTTCCCCTCCTCGATGATGAATAATGGACCTAATACAATATGACAACGACACAAATAATTTTTCTTTATTGACAACACCATAAATAATTAACTTTCTTCATTGACAACGACACAATTAATTATCTTTAATTCTCCACTCATACCTGTACATGCGACCAAATGAGATGAGATTAGACTCGCCATTTGGAAGGGCATCTTCCCTTGACGAGTGACACGTCCTTGGATGTAGAAAAGCAATAGAAGAACAAAAAAACAAATGACAAACAGACAATAAAGCAGCCATCAATAAAACAACAATATGGGGTCTAGGTTAGTGAAAATCGAGTTTTGATTTGTAGAGTAATAGTCTCAAGTTCGAATCTCCATAGCACATTCACAGCGTGTGTGAGAAAACTCCCTCTCTTCTGACCCAAAAAAAAAAAAAAAAAAAAAAAAAAAAAAACCCCCCNAAAAAAACAGAGAAAACCCCCTCCTACTTCCAAACTTCGGCAGAAACTAAAAAAATATAAAACTACAATTTGAGAAACAATCATAAGAGAGAAAACAGATTGATATTGGTTAGCAAAAAAGACCACCCCCAAAACCAAAACAAAAAACAAAGGACACTAAGAGTAAATCAATCTTCCATAGGAAATATAAGATCTTATTAGCATAAACGCTAATACAACCCAATAGGTGTTCCAGTAAGATTAGGACTAAAACATGCTCTAAATGATCCTATCTCCTAGAAATGATAACATAATTCATCTGTAGTTTTTAACTGATACAGGGTACTGTGGGTTCTGTGTACTGTGTGAGCAGCAATCTTCACAGCCTTAAGTCCTGCACCACATACATATACATCGGTATGTAGTATGTACAAGAAGCTATCTGAGATTAACTACCCTCCTCTAAATTCTCAAACATAAATACGTTCCTGTGGTTAATAACTAAAATAAAGTTTCTAGGCCCTCTGGTTGAAGTCCATGAAGCTCGGGCGAGCCTGTCCATTGGAAACAGCCTGGTTGTGAAGCATGTGATGGTGCTGCTGGTTCTGGCCGCTACCAAGCTGATGATGCGAGGACGACTGAGGGGAGGCATATTGAGGGGGGAGCCCTCTGTAGAAAGGGTTTCCATTCCCAGGTGGGATTTGGTTGGTTTCAATCTTAAGCCGCTGAACTTCCTCCTTAAGTTTTTCATTCAAGGCTGTAGGTGTAAAATAAACAAAAAGCAAAGCAACTATAATATAACCTCAAAAGAAAAGTTTGCTAACTTGAAAGCTCAAGGTATTCAAGCCACATGAAAGTAAAACAATTCCACCACTCCTTTTCCATAACAGCACAAACATACAAAATAACTTGCATACCATCTCTTAGTTGTGCTTGTTGCTCCATAGCCTGTAAGCGAAGCTTGAGCTCCTTATTCTCAGCAGTTATAACAGTAGTGTCCCTCTGCATCACAGATACATTAATAGACTGACTAGGATGCAGACACTGTTAAACTAAAATCCTAAACTGACTCTTAAACTACCTGAATTATGCGCTACACAAACTTGCATGTGCTACAAGAACATATATGGTATAATTAAGAATAGGGTCAGTCCTTATAAAGACAGCCTGGTGTCGAAGTCCAGCAAGAACCAAGAGTTTGTCCTAGATTTGAACCAGAATGACTCTGAAAATTGCTTAGCAAAATACTGTTACACAGTAAATCTTAAAATTCAAAAGAATGGAAACAAATGAAACAAGTTTGCCAAATTAGGAAAACCATCTAAGATTGATTGTAACTTTTGACCATCCACCATGGGCAATGAAGTTTCTCGCATTACTGGCACCTACCGTCTAGTAGGTGGTGACCATTAAAAATTCAATCCTACTCAGGAAGCCCGAATATTCTAATAATATAAGGGCTGTGGTTGCACCAAGCTCCTTTTAGGTTGGACATGACATGGGTTATGTCCACAGTTTTAAAAGAATCAGTTATTTCTAGACTCTTCAATCTAGCAAAGAGAAACAAAGGCCTGCAGATAACATAAAAAAGAAACTATAGAATCAAATGAAGGATCCCAAATTCTCATATCTGTTTGTCAAATCAACTTCTAGAGTCTTCAATCTAGCAAAGAGAAAAGGATAAAAAAGACAGAGAAGAGATCTCAGCAGAGGAGAAATAGAGCTCACTAGTTGAAAAGACTTGAGCACAGAACACAAGGAGGTAGCAGCTTATAAGATTTGACCTTTTTCACTATGAAGTTATAGCATAACATCATCAGTTTGTAACTGTTATGGAAACATATTATCTCCTAACTATGTATAAACCTGCTTTAATCCACATCCCAGCTAACTGGCCAATGCCCTGACCTTATTCCTAAACTTAATTAATGTTCCAGAACGATCGGGATTTCTGGTAACTAAAGCAACATGGACGTTTAAATGTTCTTCAACAGAAAAGTTAGTGCCAATTTAAAGTTACAGCAAAAATTTTAGGTTACAAAAACTGCATTCTGCCATTCATAATCTTTCCCTATTTACAATGTGTGGCTTTTTCCTTTTCTGTTGATACTAACTTGTGTCCAGAACAATGTTATTTTACATTTTACGTTAAGTGTTTCGAGCTGAGGGTTTATATTGAAAAGATAATTAAATGGATACACAAAACTACTTAGTTATGGACATAAGCAACTGAAATTTATAAGCTGAGGATCCATACTTGACATTAATGTGTATGTTTACTTCTTGTATTGTTAATGGAAATACAAAAATCATACCAAAACAAAGATCATAATCAATGTTAAACTATCCCTTAAACAAAACACATTTCCTAAAGAATAAAAGCTTAGGTATCTTAGAACATAAAAGCTAGAATCTCACAAAAACCTGCCGCATTAGGGGAATTAATTTCATTTACTGAACTGACAGAAGGACCCGATCTTTAAAAAGAAAATGACGTCCGTAAGATTGAAAAGAATCATTATGAGGAACTTTGATGTAATAAAGTAACTTTGTACTGTTAAGTGATTAAGGAAACTGATAGAGTTTTCCTAGCAACCGAAAGATCTATTTATCCATATTTCATATGTAACCCTATGTGCCTAACGTACTGGAGAATGAAGCAAGCATGGAAACATTGACAATTTAAAAATGGTAGAAAATGGAAGGAAAAGTAA